TGGGGGGGGGGGGGGGGTTTGAGTTTTTTAATTTGATTGGTTAAATTACAGGGAATTTTCATTGCAGATTTTTCGACTCTGGTTCATTGAGGTATGATCTTATACCAGATTTCATTGTTTATTATTTTTTATTTTTCGCTTTCGTAAAATAAGATTAAGGGATTTGTGTATATGAAAATATATTGTACGCTACACTAAAGTAGATGATCTAAGTTAATGGAGTAAGAGAGCGGATAGTCAAATAACTTAGTCACAATGCACCGGGTGTAACCATTGAGGGGCAAAGGGGCATCCGCCCCCAAAAAAGAAAAGTCCAATTCTTTTAAAAAAGAAAATTGACATAATATTTTGAGAATGAAGTGATTTTGAACCCGAAATTTTGTTTCTTCCCCATTCTCTTGTGTATGTTTTAGATATTTTTTCTTTCTATTTATTTACAATATAAAATAATACTACTAAAAATTGTGAATAACAATAAAAAAAATTGGATTCAACTGTCTCCGAATATAAAATAATACTAGTAAAAATTGTGAATAACAACAATAAAAAAATTTGGTTGGTTCTGTCTACGAACCCTCGAAAATTTTAACCGTCCTCCCCCAATACTGTTTGGAACCTCTCCTACCAATACACATATTTTGCTGGATGCGATTTCCTTCATTCGAAAAGTGAAAAACAGAAAACCATGAACAATATTAAAAAATATGTAAAAACTTGATCGAGCTCGAGTCATTAACATAACTAATCAAGTTTGAAGATATATTTTTGTACGAAACACTACGAAACTTGTCTAAAGTTCGATTGAAATTTATTAGAAACAATTCAAATAAACTTGAACAATCGGACATGTGACTCGAATCAGTTCGTCTACGCTCCTAATTGTAATAGACAAAAATTGGAAGTGCACAAGTACATACGTGAATATCACTATCCGGTCAACAAACGTGAATCAACACACATTTAGAACCACAAATATTATTCTACTAAAATATAAAAAGAAATATTCTGAGATTGAGTGAACAAACAGCAAAGATTGTTCCTTTTTTCTTTTTCTTTTTTCTCTTTTTTTTTATAATAAATATTTAAGTTACATTCAAATGGCAATTTGGTCAATTTAGTTGGAATTTGATGAAGGGCATTTTGGAGATGGGCTAATTTGTGGGTCCCACTAGTTAATTTAATTTAGTGACGTCGTGCTTGGCTCAAAATATATATAGTCAACGCCAAATATTCAAATTAATGGTGAAATAATGCTAATTGGTTATTTTTTAATTCATGTAATGGTACATGTACTTGCTAAACAATCAAAAAGTTTGGGGATATTTTTCAACCACGTAACGAACTTTGAAATTTTATTTGGGACCTTGTGATTTTTTGGTCGGAAACTTCTTCATCTAAATTTATTTGGGCAAGTGGAAACATCAAACATGAATCAATTATATAATGATGTTATTTTAATCAATATGTGTGTCGAGTTTGGGTATACTCAAACTCAGATATGGTCGGAGTTTAAGATTAGAAGGTCAAACTCATATATTACCGGATTTTGTAATTATAGACTCAAACTCCACTCATGTAAAATTTCGGGCTTCCATCTTAAATATAACTCTAACTGAACTTATAAATATCATGTTTAAAATTTCATGCATATAGTCATGTACTACAAATATTCTTAAACTAAATAAAGGGGTCATTAGCAATAAACCCCTCATATAGATAATAAATGGTGATATGTCCACCCCTTAAATCTTTCTTTGTGATAAACCCCTAGAATTTGTATTTCCAATTCTACCCTTATGTCAATTAGCATAATTAGTCTCAATTATTCCTTTTTTCTCTCTTTCCATAACAATAATCTAATTCCTAAAAATCTGCTTCCAAATTCCTAAAAATTTGCTACCAAATCAAAAAAAGATGAATTTTTTTATTTTTTTAATTTTTTATTATTTCGGATTTTTAGCCATTTTTTTATTTATTTATATTTTTAATATTTTTTCTAATAAAATATATTTTTTTTAAACAAAAAATTGATTTATTTTTTCTCGACAGATTTACAACTCTGAATATGACTATAGTTGAATATGGCTATTATGTGACTACACTGTGTATAATAGTGTAATTAACATATTGTAGAAGCATAATTATTAAGATAACAATAAGAATATGACTATTATGTGAATGTGACTGTGCTTTGTAAAACATTATAATTAACAGACAGTAGAAGCATGATTCTTAACAAAAACAGAGAGAATGTGACTATTATGTGATTACGGTTTGTATAACCAGTGACTGAACAGGACAGTGAGAATATGACTATTATGTGACTAGGTTCTGTGCAATGTGACTACAAGTAATCAGCACTTGAAAAAACTTGCAATATTAATAGCAAAATACATTGCAAAAAGAAAAAAAAAAATGACTAAAAAAAACAAAAAAACAACTAATGTGATCTTTCAACAATGGCCATCGAACATGTTTTTTTGTTGCGGTATCCAACTCGGTTGCACCGACTGCACTTAATCTTCCGTTTGATCTTGTGTGTTAAATATGACTACACTGTTGAATGTTGAACATATGCAGCACTACAAAAAGAAAAGGACAAATATAACTAAGTTGTTAAACATGACTACTCTGTCAAATATGACTACTCTGTAAAATACACTGCACTACAACCGACTAATCTCGTATTTCAATGGGTTTTCCAGATCTAAACATTCAGAATATGCAGAATAACACAAAAATTAATAAAATCCAGAATAATTGAAAATCAATGTATGCGTTCATAACAAACAAATAATAGAACTGAAATTCAGATCCATAACATATTATATTGCTAGTTCGACAATTAATTCGAGAAAAATAAAAAAATAAAATTTACCAATTAATATAGTATAAATTGGTATTCAGCGTCGAGAGAAGGGAAATCTCCATGTAGAAATTCGACGGAGGCGGCGACAAGGTGAGGGAGGCGCCGCCGCCAATTGTACCAGGCGTCGATGTGGTGGTGTTCGACGAGGGGGGAGACGATCTCCAACATCGGCGGATAAGGGCCTCCTACAACGGGTTTCGACCGGTGGAGTTTGAAGGATATTGTTGACTCCGGCGGTGGCGTTTTACAGATTTGAAGAAGAAGGAAAAGGAAAAAAAAAAAAAAAAAAAGAACGTGAACAGAGAGAAATAACGAGAGAATGAAAGAGAGAGAGAGAGAACAGAGAGAAAGATCGAGAGAATGAAATAGAGAGAAATAAAATTGTATTAGATTAAAAAACCTAACACATAGGGACACTTTAGTCTTATCATGGCTGGTAAGGGGGGTCTCACTAATTTAAATTGGGATATGGGTTATGGGAAAATTCTTTAAAATCAATTGGGTTTAGTTCAAAATATTTTCCAAATAAGGGGTGTATTGCATATTTCCCCCTAAATAAAAATGAGTTATTTATTTATTTATTTTATAATCATTTACAAATAAGAGAGATTTTAAATAATCCAGATCAATGAAAAACCTAAATACTTTTGAATTCGGTGAATTATTTTTAATATAAGTTTGAAAACAACTATAATGCGCGAATGTAAGTTTAAATTTTCATTTATCAACCAAGTATTTTCGTTAATTAGTGTTAATTGTATACAATAAATGCCAATAAATATGTCAAATAATAAATTTAATAAATATTAAAATTTATTATCTGATATAAACTTTTCAAATTTAATAAAATGACCCAAACTCGTCCCTATTCATAATTAGCTAAGTTCAACTCAAATAAAATCGCGCCGAATAATCGAGCTTCGGGTAGACACGACGCAATTGCGGATCCTACTTATTGGAAGGAATAAATTGAGCCTATATGTGGATTCTTATAACAAATTAGTTACATTGTACGCTTTTAAGTTATTAAAATGTCCATGTATTTTCACTTAATTTTATTAGGTGGAGTTTTTTAAAATAAATTATAATTTTTCTTTTTTACGTTTCTTTCCTTATTTTTCTTTTAGGTGGTGTTTGTCGTTGCAACTTTTACTTTTATTTTAAAATAAATTCATTTAGATGGTGTTAGCAAAAACTTATTTAATAGCAAAAGTTGGTAATTGTAGGTTAAGTTGGAATTAAGTGTTTATTTTTAAAAGTTGAGGGTGTTTGCAAATTAGCTGAAAAATCAACTGAAATAGAAAAAACATGTAAATCGATGCTTTTAAAAGTATAACTTAAATCAATTTATTTTAAGAGAAGCAAAAGCAAAAGCTTGTTTTGCAAACAAATAAAAATGGATTATGTCCAGAAAAAATGCTAAATGATGGACTCAAGTTTCCACTATGTTATACTCCATCCGTTCCTAAATAAGTGTCTCTTTTCACTTTTCACAAAGATTAAGAAACTCAATAAATATATCTTGATTTTAGAAAAATCATATAGAAATGACTAAAATAACCTTTATTATTTAATAATTTATAAGAGAAAAATAATAATTAGAGTTTTATTAATAAGGTTAAAACAGGAAAAATGTATTTAATGCAGTATTGTAAATCTAAAGTGACAGATAATATGGAACAAAAATATTTTTAAAAAGAGACAGTTATTATGGAACAGAGGGAGTACCTATTTATGAGGCTCCACCCAAATTTTATTATTTAATGCACCCAAACTTCAAATTAATGAAAAAAAAGAAGTTTTTCTTTTCATATCTTCTGATTTTGTCAAAGATAACAAATCCTATAAAAAAAAATTATCCTACACTCATCAATATTGAAACAATCATTATTACCATTAATTTCTTTACAATGTTTTTTAATGCATATTCGGTCACCATTGTACAAACATCAACATTGTTGACGAAAACCAATTCATATTTTCATAGTTTTAAAATTTCATATTCAAAGTTTTAAGAAGTTTAAAACTACAAAGTCAAGAATTTATAAAATTTAGAAGGGCAAATGGCAAAAAGGCCCATCACATGGGACTTAAATGCATTTTAGTCCACAAAAAAAACAATCTCTCAATTAAGCCCATCCCCATGTCTTTAGTCTAAAATACCCTCAATAATATAATTCTTAACAATTCCACCCATTATGCTCTAACTTCCTTAATATTACACATTGACCCCGGATTTAAACAAATATATCACATTAACCCCCAAAACTTTTTTTTTTCAGAAAATAATTTTTTTTCTGAACTGTTTTTTTTCCG